GAGTAGAGTTGAATTTATTCTTTTTTCAGAACGTGGAAAAACTGAGACATATTTTTCATAAAGTATTTCAGACTATTTGTTACTTTCATACATATCAACATTGTAATAATTGATGAAACGGTGTAGTAGTAAAATAGTAGTGATAGTTGCGGTCTGGCTTATGGGCTGAGTGGGAAATTATATATGTTTGCATTCTTTCTGCACCATTTCATGGCGGATGGTGAAAATGAATTTAAATAAATGCTTTTTTAATGTTTTGAATAAATACAAATTAAGATAACATGTTTTTGAGTATATAGTATATATATAGTGTTGTCATAAGTATTGTCACGTTAATACATTAATCCTTAAAACAGACGGTATTTGAACCTTTGCACATGGCACAGTGACATGAATCTGTTTAGATTTGTTGTTCACACAAGAGACAATCTTGTTTTCTGATTTATATCTAGAAGGTTTATACACAGCACTCTGTGCACCTGCAGGGTCCACCTAATGCAGATAAATCAGCTTTAAATCAACCACAGACCTCTCTGAGGTAATCATCTAAAATATATTTATTTTTGTGAGGAGTACTTTTGTGTTTAATATTTGTTTATTTTTGAAAGTTACGATGCAGAAGTTAAAGTACTGTGCTGTACACAGCGTCACATATGCACTGTTTTTCCATTTGAACGTCACAGATTGTTAATCCAGCAGCTCTACATGCTCTGGATCTACATCCCTCCCCCCTCTTACTCCACATCCTGGAGCCCCGGATCACTCTTTCATCCTCAGAGTTTCCAGGAGCACTTTATTCCCACAGCTGTAGGTTGAAGTATTTTAAATGGTTTTCCCACAACAGCTGAACTGACAGGACAAGAAGATCTGTGCAAGCTGAAGAAGAAGAAGGAGCTCGCTGTTGTTTTAAAGGCATCCTGAAAGTTAGTGCTCTGACAAGGTAAGGATAAAACTCACTACTGCTCCAGTCATCCATTCACATGTGAACTCTTTCCTAGGAGGATGTACAAACAGACAAGGCTGCTTAAAAAAAAAGCAAGAAATAAACCTTCTGTGCTTCTGTAAGGATTTATTGAGTTTTATTGGTTTAAATAAAAAGTATAACCGATGTAATTTTCTCATAGCCTGATATATTCAGACTCTACATTCATATTTTTCTTTGGGAATTTTGTCATCCATCCATCCATCCTCTTCCACTTATCCTTTTCAGGATCGTGGGGCAGCTGCAGCCCAGCTGTTAGCGTGAGAGGCAGGGTGCACCCTGGACAGGTTGACAGTCTGTTGCAGGGCTACAGCTAAAATGCTATATTAGCTATATTTGTTCATATTCATTTTTTTTAGTTTTCTATTTTGATGAACAGACTTTTAAGATTTTTGCGTCACTTGTTTTGGGACTTTTCCTCTCATGTTGGTGTGTTTCATGCTTTACATGTTTTTGCACATCATCATTGATTTTTTTTATTTTTTTGCATTAATTTGAATAATTTTGGGAGTCAGCACCTCTTTACAGTCACGTTTCTTTTCTTAACAGAGCTGGTGTGTCTATTTTTGTTGACTTTGCATGTCTTTGTCCTCTTTTACATATATTTATTAGTTTCAGGTTGGCCATTCTTGTATTTTGCTCGTCTGTGTTGTTGTGTTTGCACATCTCTGTTGCTTGTGGGGCTCGCACACAAGAATTTCACTCGCATGTGCTGTGCCAGTGTGCCTGCACATGTGATGTGACAATAAAAGTGATTTGATTTGATTTGATTTGATTTGATTTTTTGCATCTTATTTGTGTCATTTCATGTTTACATTTGTGGTGGTTGGTTTGCTTCTGTTTGGCTGTCTTGTTTTTTAGGTTTTTGTTGTAGTTGTTTCGTGCCTCACCGTATTTTTTCTTCTGTGTTTTTCATGTGAAGTCATGTCATGTTGTGTGTTTCTGAAGTGTTTCAATACCTTTGATCTCTGTAGTTTTTTCTTTGTTTGCCTCTTTTGTGTCTAATTTGGTTTATTTGCTTCTCTTTTGCCATGTTCAGTAATTTTATAGCTCATCATGCATGTTCATGTGTAATAATAGGTTGATTGGTTCATACGCATTATACTTGTCTTTTTACTTTATCTCTTTATTGTCTTTTGTGATATTTGCACTGCATTTGAGCTCTGCATGGTGGTTTTATGTTGCATTTTCCCAACTTTATTTTGCAGTATCCAGTCTCAGTTTCTGATAAGCAAAATCTTGTTTGCATCATCTCTCAGTCCATCAAGTGAATTGGTTGAGCTACATAAACTTTGTATTTACCTTTAGCGATGCTGTCCACCCTACACTGTTTGGGTGTGTGTGCGGTCTTATTCTTACTGGCCCCGCCCACCACATCGTTCTCCGGTGGTGCAAGCCACGCCTCTTGTCAGGAAATGATTCCCGGCCACATCCGTGCTCACTCTCAGGACTCGCAGCACAGACAGGTCACCATACGCACGTCTGCCTCTTCCTACCTCCCTGGACAGTTTATAACAGGTACTATCAGCGTAATGTGCGACGCTTAACAAACCAACTAAAAACCAACAAACCTGCTGTGATAGTTATTCAAATGTAGTTATTTTAATGTGGTATGTGAGCTGAATGACATTAAAACACCTTCATGATCTGTTTATGTTGGCTGCCTTTTGTTTTTTTGACTGTTCAGTAATGGTGCGGAGCTCTCGGGACTTCATGGGTTTCCTGCTCCAGGCACGCCGTGCAGAGGGTACCTTCAGCAATTTTGGAGGAAGCTATGGGGTCACGCCATGGCCCAAAACCGGAGCTGGAAGTGGTGTCAGGAAGTCCAGGAGACAGGGCCCGTTGCTGGTGGGCGGCTCCTGGATCCTCACACCTCCTGGCACCCACACTCTGTGCTGCCTCTCGGAGGGTGACACTGTCACACACTCAGACAAACAGCTGAAGAGAAACCTCTCGTTTGTATGGAGGGCTCCTGATTCACCTGTGGGAGACATACGGTTCTAGTAAGCCTACAAATAATAACAGATTAGTTTTCACAGAATTTCAAGTTTTGTACAAGAAAACACAAACCTGAGTATCCTCTGTTTTCCAGCATCACGGTGGTACAGTCCTACTTTGTTTACTGGGCAGGTATTGAGTCTGGACTGGTGCGTGACGCGGGTCGTAGGCTTTGGAATGGGAGTAACACTACTAGAGTGAATGGAGTGAGTGCAATTTCCGCACTACTGCAAGACAAAGTTACAGCCCTGCCAAGTAAGCTGATATAGTTATTATGTGATGGTAAATTTGGGACAAAATGCAAGCTAGGTGCTTTGAAATAGAACAATTGTCGCCTCTCTATTCACTCTCTTCTCTCACCTTGTTGTCTTGCAGCTCTCAGAGCCTTTAAAGCATCAAAGAAAGAAACAAATGCGACAAATAGACCAGGTACTAGTCTACAACTTATTACAAGAGCAAGAAGTGGACCTTACAACTACAAATCTATGAAAACAACAACAGAAACAACTCATCCAGCCTTGGACAGGAGCAGCTCTGTGACTCTGGCATTGTTTGAAGTTAGTAAAAAGAAGAATATGACCTTAGAAAATCATCAAACTGGTTCTCAAACACCTTTAAGATCATATTCAGGTGTGACTGAGGAGGCACAAATTGACCCCGTTCCTCAACCAAAGGACCCCAAGAGCTCAAGTCCTTTGACAGCATCTTTCTTCTCTGCTGAGGCTACAGGGATGAAAACTACCACCATTTCTTCATTAAACAACACAGTGCAAGCCTCAAGTAGTCCTCTTCCCCTCCTTGTTCCTGTCATCCCTCTGAAGGAAGAGGAACTTCCAAAATTACATTTACCAGATCCAAAAGTGCCTAACAAACCTGAAATAGAAGATGTCACCAGAAATCACTCAACTAATCACAGTTTTCATAAGATAAAGCTCCCAAAACCCACAACCCAGAATCCAAAAGCAGCAATCCAGGAAGAAGAAGGTTCAGCAAAGTTCAAGACCCAGAGTGGTTCAGTCCAGCCTCACAGGACTAGTGTAACTGAGTCCCAAACCAATGCAGTTAAATCAGAAATAGGTATCGGGTCTCAAAATCCTCACTCCCAAACTTCCTCACCCAAGCCTATTAGTCATTTTGAAACTTCCATACTTCCATCCATACTTCTTCTACGGTCCCAAACTAGTAGGAGTCATATTTATCCATTTCCCCCAGCATCTCCATCCAAATTCCTTTCTCGCTCTCAAACCTCTTCTCCACACTCCATTCCACCATCCAGATCTCCCATCATTAAGTCCTTTCTCACAATATCGTCCCTTACCCACTCTGAAAACAGCCCTTTAGAACCCAAAAGTAGCCCAAAGAAAACCAGTACACCTTTCTCTAATCTTCAGACTACAGCTACTGTCCTGAGTAGCTCTCCTCACAGTGAGTATATCAGAACATTTCTCCAAGACATGCCAGAAACTACTACAACTAAAAGTCAGGGTAAAACTAGCATTCCTTGGACAGATTACTCCCAGTCTGAGATATCACCTGACGTTTCAAACAACTCTCCTCAACCACAGAAACAGAAACAAACTCCATCCTCCGAGTCTCTCTTTAACCCACTGCTCTTTACACTGAGGACTGACCAAACTCCCATACTGGAAAAGAGTCAAGTGGATCTTAGGTCTGACGCAAAGATCAGAACTACGCGCCCAGTCTTTGCTCTGCCCTCAGCCACTCCTTCCCTTTCCGCTTCATCTTTCTCCTTCTCCAATACTTTGCTCCCTACTGCAACAGTTAACGATAGGTCTACCAATTCTCCTCATTCTTCTGGAGGTTTACCCCTTGTAACTATGCATGCATCCATTAGGTCTACATTTGTCATCCCTTCTTCCTTTACGAGAAACCAACTGACGTCATCAGCTCGTTTTGCTCTCCCCTCCCCTTCTCCAATCTCCAACCCCCCTTATTTGTCATCTTCTCAACCTACCCCCACTTCCCCACAACCATCCTCCTTTGCCTCGTCTACTATTCCCTATTTATACACTTCTAACCATCCATCATCAGATCTCTTGTTTACTCCAGCTCCCTTGCCTACCTTTACCTCTTCCCAGTGCATCACAAATTCTTCCATTTCTTTTGTTTCTTCTACCACTTCATCTAGCTCGACCTCAGCAACTTCTTCCTCCTATCAAGGTACATCTTTTTATATCCCATCTGTAACCTCCCCGCCTGCTGCCCAGGCTACCTCCCTTCATTCAGGACCCTCTCCAGCTCCCCGTCGCTCTCTGCACAACCTCTCCATGCCCTCACCTTCCCAGAAACATACTGAAGGTCACACTGCATCATCTGATCCTGATCCAAGTATACACCCACCAACACCAAGAACAGACATTCATCCAAACCCCAAACCCCACCCTAACATCGAGGAAAATCTTGGCCACGAGTTGAAACCAAAGCTTCCAAATAGTGATGCTAAACATCCCTCCAGTCCTCCTGCAACTCCAGACAAGGAAGGGAAATATCCAGACATACGCAGACACAGTGCCTGGGAGCTGGGCATGCTGCTGGGCAGCTCAGCTGGTTTGGGTATGGTACTGGTGGTTGGAATAAGGTACTTGTACCGCCAGGCTTGTGGAAAACGGACGGCGGTGACCCTGAACGATCGGGAGAGAGAGTATGGGAGAGGAGAGATAGGACTGATCCACGTCCAGGAGTGTGGAGATTTGGTTAGAGTCCGAAAAATCAGAGAGAACAGCTTAGTACTTCTGGCAGAGTATGATGTACTGTCACCACCTGGAGAGAGAAATGCCGGCTGCCAACAAAGATAATAGATACCAAAACCTTTCAAGGACAAGAAAATAATCTTGGTTAACTCCTCGAATGTTCGGATTGATTTTTTCCCTACAACAAACGTCACATTGGGGAGACGGGTCAGGCTAGGTAGTAAAAGGAAAAACAGTGAAATGTGTAACACAAAAGGGTCATTAAGGAGAAAAAGAACGCACAGATATCATCACACCATAACACAATAAAACACAGACAAGCAACAGGGGGACATATTCCAGTGTGTACAGCTGGATCTGGGACCGCTGCAATCTTCGATCGTGCCTCCAGCTGATCCGCTGTCCATGCGAGCCAGTCCGTTCTGAAGTTTTCTTCCTCCTTCCAGATTTTCAGTAACTATTGTTTGAAATTCATTAGCTCAAAAACCAGCAGAACTTTCACTTGTGACAGCACAGCAATGCAGATGAATGCAAACACTGTCGTCTACTGCAGTGCAGGCTCCACAGGGATGTAGGGGTGGGTTTTTATAATCGACTCATCGATTAAAATAGATTCTGGCTTGGATAACGTAAAATCGATTCATTAAAATCCTGAATCGATTTTTTAATATAAATTTATTTTGCCCAAAATGCCAGAATCTCTGGTGACATCTCACAAACTTTCAACAACCACCAAACAGTTAAGACAGTAAATGAGAGCAGGTACACGGATTCTGCACATAGACTTAAACACACAGCGCGACCCGCGGATCAGAATCAGTTAGATGTCGCCTTTCTCACAGTCGGGGCTGAAAGCCGACAGCTCGCTGATTCTGATCTGTCGGCGGGTCCGCGCTTTGTGTTCACGCCCTTTATGAGCCGATTCTAAAGCTGTTAGTTTGATCTCTCTCCAAACAATATTGACCGAACCAGCAGCAAAAGAAGATCCAAACGCTTCACATAAACATCGTCATGAATTCACTCTGACTTTTACTGTTTTGCTTCCACCGCGATGCACAGCTCTCTCTCTCTCTCTCTCTCTCTCTCTCTCTGTACTTCAAGAACAGTTTCCCTTTCTTCATTATTCGCTTGCTTGTTACGCACAAGTCTACTGTTGTTTACAGCGCTGTCAGCCGCTGTTTTTTCCCTTTTACATTCTTCCGAAAAGAAAACCTCATTTCTGCTGTTCAATACTGAACAATTTAAACTTTCTTTCGTTTTTGATGTACTGCAGAATATTTTTATAAAATCCCAGAACAGGAAAATCACCTTCATGTTTTCTGTGTTTTATCTTCAGCTACTTTGACACAAAGGCATCTGCTGTGACGCTCACACCTTTGATAAAGTCTTGCGTGTGTCAGCTTCCTTTTTATAGATACAAAAATATGTAAATGTACTGATCTGAATTATAATATTTCTGACTGTCAAAATTTCCCAGATTTAAATCGAATCGAATCGAATTAAATCGAATCGTGGATCGAATCGATTCGGGACCTTGTGAATCGGAATTGAATCGATTCTAGAAATCAGTGACGATACCCAGCCCTACAGGGATGACTATGAAAGGATAAAACTGTGGTCAGTCAGTCTGTTGCTGAAAGAGATATTCTGACAGCTTTTTCTGCTTCTTCATTAGTTTTAAACAAGCAGCGTTTCCAGATGACCTTTCAGGTCCCGTTGAGCCGCGGTCCCTGACAAAATGGAGCTTGGCAGGCTGTCACAAAATTCGCTGTAAATGTTCACGATCATCCACAGATTATTTAAGCCAGGAGAGCACATTAATAGACTCCATAGACAAAAGCACACACTGGTGCACTTTCTAAGAAGAATCAGCAAGAGCAGAAGAAAATATTCCTGGCTAAATCTTTCTGTCTCCAACATAAGTAGAAGAACAAAGCTACAATCTGAGTAGTACGTTAACAGAGAAGAATAGGTATGTTTTCTGCATGCATGTCTAAATATACCACAGTGTATAGACAATGACAGGAGGGCTGTAAGTCCAGCTCTGATTAGGTTTTATAGGCTGATTTTAACAAGCAGAGGTTTTTGCATCTGTGGAGAAAGAGACTACACTGCTGATCACTAACATCCATATTAAATTGTTAAGTCATGTGATTGCACTCAAAAATAAAAAGTATATTTTCAGTATCATACACTTTCATTTCTTTATTCAGCTCCTGGAGTTTGAGGCAAAATGCTGGTTTTTAAATTAGGTTTGATTGAGGGTTAAAAACAGCACAAAGCGTCTGCGGTCTGCTGGCAGTGCTTTTATTGGTTTATCTTACGACTGCTCCTTCCAAATGATGTGACAGAAGAGCCATCTGTCCAGAAAAAGATGGGTCAGTGAAATTAATGAGCTGCCAATACGGCCCATTTGGTCAGAGAACAAATACAAGGATTTATTCTAAAGTGCTTCTGGCCTCAGAGGACGAAGCACTCATTAGGGCTGTTAAGACTTCGTCAAAGAAGTAAGAGCAACACATTCCAGGTACTTCTAACAGCTAGTAGGGTGTGTAGAAATAGTCTCTGCTCAAAATGTGGTACTGTGTTACAAAGAGAAAGCCTTTTTGTGTTTAATTTCCAAAACGTCTTTAATAAAACAAACAAGACACATACATGTCCCACTCATTGTTTTCTCCCCACAATAAATTACAATGACAAAACAACCACACTGCAAATAGACTGAACAGACTCACTGTAAGCTGGACGACATAAGAAATGACATTTGTGCTGTAAAGGCTTCAGAATTGAAGTGAATGTGGTGACATTCTCCGTCAGAGACGCCAAAATGTTCATACAGTATTTTCAACACTATGTTAACATCTTTTTGAAAGGGCAACAATCATGTGAAAGGAGACTGGAGGCTGTACAGTCTTAGGTGGATACAAAAGCTAATTTCTGCTACTGGAAAAAGAAAAAAAAAGCCATCCATAGTTCAAAGTTTTGACTTTCTAACTTCAACTTTCAAACATCTGAGCTAATACTTTGAAATGTCAACTTTGCAAGCTGTTTTTTTGTTTTGTTTTTATTTGGCGTCACATGGCGGACATGAGCTCCACTCCAACTGAATATTGGTGTCTGCTGTTAAATCAAGCAACACTTTGCTTAGAAATTTTAATGACACCGACTTGGATTGTGTCACTTTTGTGAAAACAACTTTAGAAGTTGCTTGTACTGTTCTCAAGTGGTTTAAAAATAGGTATTGCAGGTTTTTGGTCCATCACTTCAATTCACTTTAATACTATAAGACAGAAACACCATGCTGTAATTCATTGTAGGATATTTCCCATTAATGTTGTTATTGCGACTCCACAGGCGATGTTTGGTGATAATGTGAGCCAGAAGTAACAGGAGTCTCCTGGATATAGAAATAAGTTCAAAGGATGGACAATGTGTGGTTTCTTCTTTTTCCAGTGTAAGGTTAGGTACACATGACGACTACAGACTAAAAAAAAAATACTGTAATGTGGGACTGAAGCTGAATACAATCTGCTCACTACTGGATTTGACTGGTTGAGCAGCATGGTGGTGAAAACCAACGGGCATCTGTAGTGACGTACCAACAAAGCAGAGTAAACCTCATGATGCTGCTATCTGTAATTCAGTGTTAGAAAGGATAGTGACGGTAATTTTAACATGCTAGCACTACTTTAAGCTACAACAGATACAGAGTTAGCTGTGCACAGAGCTACTGTAAGGCCCTCCAGTGTGTCCTCTGAGGCTTGGTGGAGTTGTGCTATTACGTAGCGTGAAAGCCCTTAAAGAAAAATGGAAGTCAGAGTTGTCATAATTTACCAGAAGGATGTAAGGCTAAGTCGTTAGAGCAAAGAACAAAATAGAAAAATACTACCAAAGTTCCCCTGAGCAAATTCCCACCCTTTCTCCTCACTGGTGTGCATTTCTGTTTGGTCCACAGAACGAGATGGACTAGAACAACGTTTTAGTGAAGATCGTGTGCTGCTGTTCTAATGAGATAACTCATTCGCTGTCATACCTCTGAATAAGGTGAAGCAGCTCCAGACCTCATGTCACAAAATTTTGTTATGCAAATCTAGATTCTAGAGGTCTGAAATCTATTATTGTATTTTAAAGTTGCAGCTCTGGAGCCCAGCAGCCTCGAGTGTGGAGGGACTCTAAGACTCTGGAGTTCTAGATTTTTCCTCCCAAAAAACATTTACGTGTTTACTGTAGACTTTGGTTGGTGTGATATACAATCAGCTATATTATTTCCTTAGATAATACCATATTCTACAGCTATGTTCAGAGGTTTATTTAGATCTTTATTCTAGAGCTTGAGTGATGCAGGATTTCTGATTCTGATATTTGGTGGTTTAAAACTCTGATATTCTGCTTTCACTTTAACATTTCTTATATCTGGTGATTTATTTACTTGTTCACGTCCTGCCTGCTCCGATTGTTTGTGGAACGTTGCAGAGTGCCCCCCAGGAAAAAATCTGCAATGTTAAGACATTGTAAGAAAATTGCCCCCCATCTCTTTACTTTTTTTAATTTTGCAATATTAAATGCCAATAACAACAGACTGGCAGGTATCTCATACCAAACAATAATATCAGCTTTACCCAGTCCTGCTTCTTTTGTGCTTTGTTACTATTTAACAGGATCCTTACTGAGAGCCCAAAGCTCTCCTTATTGGTCCGAGACATAAATGCCCTTATGGGTGACAGATTTGGTTAGAATCTGAGGGAAGCAGGCCAGGAATTAAACTGAGACAGCCATATAGAAACAAGTGAACCAAGTCATTAACAAAAAATTTGACCTGTAAACTTGGACTCACTACTCCAGTATTAATGTACCAACATCCTCCACTCAACTAAACACCACCAAAAAACTACTTGTAAGACAAACGGCATTTTAGAAAGTGTCCAAAATCCAATTGGCTGTTACAATACAGTATATTAAGTATCAGATTATCCAGATCGTCCATGTAACAAACACTGACGCAGGCAGCGACCGCTAGTGGGAAGGTAGAAAAATGTTGAAAACAGCAGAAAAGAGAAAAGACTGGTCCAAATAACTTCATCCTTCTGGCTCCAAAATCCATATAAAAATAGAACTCGCACTTAGTTTAATATAAAACAATATATGTGCTGGAAAGAGGAGTCCTTCCTCATCATAGAAAGACAAGAACTGAGGCGGTTCCTCTCGTTCTTTCCGCTAGGCTGAGGTCTTCGTTGATTGGTAGCAATAAGGCACGTGTGACCACTGCAATCCTCCACCATAGTTCCCTTTTGTATGAGACATCAGTAACTTCACAAAAGCCAACATTTCATGTCAGATGGGCTGCAGCGCTGACAGCTTCACCGCCTGAACAGAGACAAGAGCCATGAGAAAGAAAAGATTGAGAAGAAAAAACATTAGACAAAAGACGAGTCATTTAACAGGACAAAGAAAACTGGAATTATTTAATGACCGACAACATGAAGCCAATTACTCGTTTTCCCCATCCTAGCAGCACACTTAGAACAGGCAGCTGAAGCTTGTACAAACACAACGTTGAACCGCTCGTCATTAACTTTGAGAGAAACCCGGCTTCATAAACAGAGTGAAGTGAAGCAAAAAGGTCCATGTCCCACCAACAACACAACACCCGTTTGACACCAGAGGGCGCTGTTGCACCCAGAGCGCAGAATTAAAGAGAATGTGCAAAAGAATTATTCATCTGATAGTGGCACACCAAAGTGTTCAATATTAAATAACTAAATATGTGGATGAAACAGCAGAACATGGGATAATGTGAATATAATGGCGTTTAATAGAGCTCATTCTTATGGAAGTAGCATGATGACAAACAAAATGCAAGCTATGCATATAAAATTTTGTAAAAACTAAAAAACCCAATTTATTATTATAAATTAAATGAATAGAATTCAAAACTGTAAAAACAATGAAAACAATAACTAAAAATAAACAAAAAAGCCCACATTTTTAGATCTAATGACACTTTGATGCTTTATTTTCTTTTTGTTTCTAATGAATTGAATAAAACATGTTTAAAAACATAATTTGTGTTTGAATTTGATTTTTAATGACACAGATCGTGATCTTTTTTTTCCTCTTGTTTGTTCTGTAGTGACTCATATTCAACAGAGACTACATAATTATTTAGATGCATATATTGTTAAATTTAATGGGACTTACACAGCTGACTTTGTTTAAATGCCCAAACGAACAATAAACAAAGTAAAAAGACAAAATTTCAAGCTGAAAAAGTTAAAATTGTACAAAATGTATGAAAGGAAAATTGTTTGTCAGTGTGTCAGTAAAGGGCTTTCATAAATCAGAGTATTACTAAGAAAACAACAACATACCACATTCATGGTTCAGTCACACTTGAATATTATTGTTATAATTCATTTTTCTTTCATGTATTTAATATTGAACACTTTGGGCTTCCATATTGTAAATAAAAAGAAAACCCAGGGAAGCCACAGTAGAGATTTTTTTGAAATTAAATACAAAAATAACTGAATTTGCTCTTCCGTCCGTTCTTACTCACTCGGGTCAGACAGAAGTGTTGGCACGCAGCCTTATCGCAACAACAGACTAGACTGTAGGGGGACAAGGTGTAGAGGTTAGTGTTGGCATGGAGCCGCCACGCCGAGGAGCAGGAGAGTTTGATTTAACATCGTCCTCAAGTGTGTGTGTGTGTGTGTGTGTGTGTGGGTGTGGGTGTGGGTGTGTGTGTGTGTGTGTGTGTGTGTGTGTACGTGTGTACCTTCTGCCGGCTGGTCATCCAGCTGCGGATGGTCGGCACGAGGACGGAGCCGAGCAGGATCTGAGCCGGATGGTAGATCAGGAGAGGGACTGAGATCAGAGACAGGTGCTCATAGCCCTCAAACACGATCTTCAACATGGGGATACCTGTGATTAAATAAATAAGGAAGACCTCATGGACTTAAAGCTAACCCAGCATTTAAAATTAGACTTCAGAATGAGATGCAGCGCAGACGAGATGACTTTGTTCACTTCATGCCAGCTCCGACCTGCAGCAGAGCTCACGACCGAGCTCAGAGCTTCACAGGCCTCAGAAGCTCTTTCTAACTCCTCCAGATTTCTCCTCTCTTTACTTTCTAACTTAAAACTCCACAGAGCTCTCAGGAGACACCCGACACTTGATACAAGTTTTTGCGTGCACGCTCTTCAAACACAACTTTGATGTGAAGTTTCTCTCTAACACAAAATCTGAGCGTCTAATCTGGATGTGCACCCACCCAGGGTTAGAGACTTGTGTGTGGAGCAGAACATGATGGCGACGGTGTCCGCGGGGCTGAACCTGGAGCCTGGCCTGCAGAGACAAACAGGAAGTTAAAACGTGCCATCTGTCACCCTCCAGACGGTTTGCAGGTGGTGACCTCTACACCCAGAGCAAAATGTTGGAGCAGTTCTTATTGTTTTAGGGAGCCAATACATGTAATGATAAGAATATGATGAATAAATGAAATGTATAAAAATAAAATGTGTGAATACCAAACTGTGAAAAAAAAGAAAGAAATGAAGTCTTAAAATTTAAGATTTGATCAAAGTTGTCGTTTTTCTGTTTTTAATTTTCACATTAAGGGTTTAATACTGATTCTTCTGCAAGTAACTTGATGACAAAACCTACAAGAAATAAATGCTGAAAGCCACTTAATGCTACTAAAAAATGTAATTAAAAAAAATAATTTAGAAAAACATTTCATTACATTTCTGGGCAGAGCTATGTAAAAATAATCAATATAATGAATATTAAAGAAAAGAAAAGGACAGGTTGAGAAGGAGGAAGCTTACCTGGTGGAAAAGGCAAATGTGAGCAGCATGAAGCTGATCTGGATGGAGAAAACTGCAGAGCAAGAAAAAAGAGGCAAATTTAACTTCTCATTTCATATTAAGCTAAAATCAACATTTAGATGGACTTTCAGCAGTTTTTCTTTTTAAAATATTGTTTTAGATCTTATAATAATAAGAACAATAAAAAACAGTCCATTCATCACTAACAGTCTGGAGTGCCCTCTGTGGTGGAAATGTTCAGTAACTCCTTCAGTAACGGTTGATTTGATTAGTTTAGTATCGAGTTCTTCGATTAGCCCTTTTTTGGATTGATTCACCAGTATCTGTTCTTCTACACTGCAGCTGCTTTGCAGCTGTTGTAGTTTGTACTAAGCATCTGTAAAAGACGTTGTGTGAGTCATTTGTGATTTATCATGGATTTTTATTCTAAATTAATAAAAATGTATGGATACTGAGATGTATTAGTTCTACACATTGTCTCTGAAAGTTTTCATTTTTAGACCAACTAGCCTGAGGGGTAAAATGAAACACCACACTGTTTGTGAGGGAATAGTTGTACACGTTAATAGTCTATATATACTGTTTCTATGCTTCTATGCTATGTTTCTATGTGTTCAGTCAAAACACTTTATTTTATCTCAATGTATTTGTGTTCCTATATTCAGCGATTACTGTTTTCTTTCCTTTTAAGTTAGCTTGGCTAGTTACCAAGGTAAACTTTAGGATTAAATCCAGTTAATGTTGATTTGGACGAGAGCTGTAGAGATTTTATGGTCATTTGGCGCCCTCTAGTGGCTGATACAAACTAGAGCAGTCAACTGGGAAACATTGACTACTGTTCTGTTTATTCATTTCTGATATTTTTATTTGTAGATCACACTTAGTCGGATTGTAAATAAAGGGAATCTCAAGGCTTTAAATCCTTTACCAGATGCTTGCAGTGGCTGTAATTACTTAAACATTCAAAGAAATCAGGTTCTGATGATTATACTCAGTCCTGGCCCCGGGGTCGAGCAACATGAGCTAACATCATTTTAGAAACTGAGCCTGCTTATCGCTAACCTCAATAAACAACACAGAGATAAAAACACTGGACGTGCCTTCCAGGTCTGGAAGGTGGGCTTCCTGAAATCTGCATAATTTTTAATGACTAGAAGAAGGAAACACTGGCAAACCTGGCAAACTGCTAAATTAACCAACACAATCATTAGGAGTCTTTTGTTTTCTTTTTTGCCACTGATTTTACTGAGAGCCAGAAACCTCAAGAAACCAATTACAACCAATCAGGAAGTGCACGTTTCCCTAGCAACCAGAGGTTAAATCATGTCCAACATGGCAAACAACTCTTGAACAATCTCTTGAGATCAGTTGGGTCAGCTTAACCTATGTTTATGGGAAAACGTCTTAGCAGACAGTTTCCTTTATGGGAAACATAAAAGAACAACTTTACGGCCTCATGGCTGCGGGCCATAAAGAAAAGGAAGATTAGTCAGGACTTCAGTCATAAGTCCTGTGGTCGGCTGTTTAAGGATCTGATCAGGATCTCTTCTGGATGTCTCACTTCAGAAAGTGGACGTCAGGGTACACACCCAGAACTCTCTGTAGGGGTTATACATCTCATGTGGCTTAATTACACCATGGGATGGCTAATGGCTAATGGAAGTGAAGGATTTCAATGGGGAGGGGCCCGGAAACCGGAACAATTGAAAAAATGTCATCTGAACAGATAGAGGTAGTTTTTGGGTGTGAAAAGTGAAGCCAGTGTAGAAGTGTCTTCAACCTGCATTATTTTTAATGACCAGCAGGGGAAGATCGCTGATTCAGCAAAAACTGGCAAACTGCTAGCTTAACCAACACAATCATTGTTTTTTTTGGTGCAGCACATACTCTGCCACTGATTTTAACGAGAGCCAGAATTGTCCAGAAACCAGTGCCAACCAATCAGGAAGTGTACGCTTCCCTAGCAACCAGAGGTTAAATCGTGTTCAACATGGCAAACAACTCTTGAACAATCTATTGAGATCAGCTGGGTCAGCTCAACGCACGTTGGTGGGAAAACAGCCCTTATCTGCCTTGATCTATGTGCTTAGCAGTTTCCTTGACAACTTTATGAGCTCATGGCTACGGGCCATAAAGAAAAGGAAGATTCAGAACTTCAGTCATAAATTCGGTAGTCGGCAGTTGAAGGACAGGACAATACTGTGGTTGCAAACAGGCTTCCAGTGTTATAGAAGTCTGTGGGATAACAGCTCTCTGACCTCGGTAACACTTTCCAGATGAGCTCATATTCTCAGCCACTGGTTTCAGTTTCCCGTGAATATAACATGAAGTCCACTTGAACTTTTGGTAGTTCTCAGAGTAACCGAGGAGAAATGTATTCAGGGATGCTTAAAAAGTTCAACTTCACTCAGCGTTTCAGCGCTAGCACCATTATTTTAACACTTCCTCTGATAGTTTAGTTCAAATTTACAATTTACATTTGATTTCCATTAATCTGCCACTGATGACACGCAGAAGGTGTACTGACTGATAAGGCCGACCAGCAGCAGGCTGGTGGGGTCCAGCTCGATGCTGGGGTTACTGAAGGTTTCGCAGAAGGTGGTGTAGATGATCATGAGGAGGAC